GCCCTAAATACCTCATGGAGACCTTGTGTCTAAATAAAATACAAATATAGGCTGGGGATTGGGCTTGGTAGTTACATTCCCTTGGGTTCTATCCCTGTGGAGGAAAAAATCAATAAAAAGGATGGGGGATGTAGTTCAGTGTTAGAGTGTCCCTGGCTTAAATTCCCAGTGTAAAAAATTTAAAATACAAATTTTGTCCAAAGACCATAGCCTTTGGTCTTTCTCGAATCCTGAGTTGTACACTCAGCCATACTGTCATTTGTCCTTGCCAGATGGTGGCCATGATAGCGTCTTCCTGATGTGTAATTTCCAGAGGAAAATTATTTGGTCTATGGCTCTGGGCCCGCTGTGAGGAAAACAGATGTGTCCACCAAAGTGAGAGGCAGCCGAGTGCAGACAGTTATCTGGGGCAGTAGGAGCAGCAGCTACCTGGGCAGTGAGGGCCTTGTGGGAGGAGAAAACCATGTGCCCACCTGGGAGCCTTCAGCCCTGAGCCTCACATTGCCTGAGGCCCCCATACACTATTCTCAATGACTCTCTGCCTTTGCTTCCTTTACATGTCACGTGGCCACAGAGAAATAACAATGCAGAATGCCCCTGGGGATTGACTATCTCATGGAATTCTGGACCAAGGAGGAGAAGAATCAGAGTATGGCGGTTGACTTCCTTCTACCCACAGGGATCTACCTGAGCTTCCCTGTGTCCTGCAATGCCAACCTCAGCACCATCAAGCAGGTACTGCCTGGTCTCCTGTCAGCCCTGGGAGCTCAGAAAGACAGAGACATTGTTCCTCACACTTGAGAACCTCAGATATAAATTTTGAAAAATATACAATATCGAGAACTTATATAAAATGGGTGGTTCACCTCCACTTACTATCTGAATTCAGCTTACCCCATGGCAATGTGTTCCCCTCCCTAGTTTCAGCTTACCCCATGGCAATGTGTTCCCCTCCCTAGTTACCAGAGGGCCAGCTACTAGCCTCAGTTTTCCTTAAGCCTCCAGTGCTGGAATGGAACTTTGAAAGTTTGACTCACATTATGCTGTCACTTTAGTGACCACAGTCTGCTCCCAGACACATACGGGCCTTGCAGGAATTTGTCTTTAAAACTGTTGCCAACATAGTGCCCATGATCCTTGGAAAGGGTCCTCAGGTTCATTGAATAAATTTCAGGATGAATTACTGAGTCAAAGCAATGAACATCTGCTTTGGTAGAAGCTGTCCTGTGACTTTCAATGGGGTTGTGCCACTTACAAACTCGGGTTTAATGGGTCATGCCTTGGGCTGCCTGAGGGCAAGAATTTATTTCACAATTTTAAAAGCTATTATTGAGAACAGAAAAAAAATGATAGAAGCAATGGACCACACTTGAGGGATATTTTTTTAATATCCTGGAAATTTTCTCTCTGCCTTCCTCCCATTCTTCCTTAAATTTTTCTACTTCAAAAGTAGCTGGGTGTGTCCCCAAATGTTCTGGTGGCTGAGTCAGGAAGATTATAAGTTCAAAGCCAGCCTCAACAATGTAGTGAGATTCGAAGCAATTAAGTGAGAGCCTGTCACTAAAGAAAATATGAAAAAGAGCTGAGGGTATGGCTCTGTAGTTCAGTGTCCCTGACTTCAATAATAATATTGGCCCATAAAATTTTGGAAAATAAGAATGAGAAGGAAGAGACCTGCCTGTGATCCTGCCATATAAGACAGCCATAGGCACTACCTTAGTCATTTCCTGTTTTCTAACCACATTCTAACTAAATTCTGATTATGAACTTTCATGACTTGTTTTTCTGAGTGACCACAGTAACATCTTGTTCATATTCTAGTTCCTGTAAACATCATTATATGGTTCACTTGATGTGCTTACAGAACTTCAAACAGTGTGCCTAAAGTTGAAACACTACAGTAGCAGACTTGTCCCTGGGGTCCCATCTCTCACTTCATTGTGGTTTTGGTTTCTTCATATTTTTATTGATATGAAGCTTTGTGGGCTATGTGTTATGTGTCATAGTGGTTCAGTTCTGCCATGGCTCAAGGCCACCATTGCCTTGGTGGGGTGAAAGCAGCCCTAGATAATGTGTCTAAGGTTGGTGTGGCTGCTCAGTCCCCAATCTCCACACATCAAGTCCTTCACAGAGCACAGGGACAGGAAGCTTGCTGACTAGCTGGTTGGTCCCAAGGGCCAAAGGGTTTCTAGGGAGCAATGCTTGGGGTCTCCCTTTGCCCTCTATGTGGCTCATGCAGAGTGGGATGCTGAGACTAGAGGCCTCTGCCTGCCTCCCAGCAGCTGTCATGGCCAGCAAGGCTGACCATAACCATTCCTCCCAGATGCTGTGGCACGAAGCCCAGAATGAGCCCCTCTTCCACATGCTCAGTGACCCGAAGGCCTACGTGTTCACCTGTGTCAACCAGACCACAGAGCAACAGGAGCTAGAGGATGAGCAGCAGCGGCTATGTGATATCCGGTCCTTCCTGCCCATGCTGCGCCTGGTGACCCATGAGGGTGACCGCATGGAGAAGCTCATCAACTCACAGATCAGCCTCATCATCAGCAAAGGTAGGGCTCACAGATAAGCCCCCACCTTGGCAAGGTACGACACACCTGGGTGGCTGGTGCCACATGTACCTGCACTGAGCCTGCTCCTTCCCTACAGGCCTCCATGAGTTCGACTGCCTCCAAGACCCAGAAGTGAATGACTTCCGCACTAAGATGCACCAGTTCAGCGAGGAGGAGGCTGCCTGCCAGCAGCAGCTGGGCTGGGAGGCCTGGCTGCAATACAGTTTTCCCCTTCAGCTGGAGCCCTCCACCAGGATCTGTGGGGATAGCAACACCTCTCAAATCTCCAACCCAGACCTGCTGGTCAATGTCAAATTTGAGGGCAGCAGGGTGAGCCCATAGCCCATGTCCTAGGAAGGCTGCCCCAGCTGTGGCACATGGGCTGCTGTGCCCATGGGGACCTTCCACTGATAAGACACTCCAGTGTCCCAGGCCCCCAAATTTCCCTTCATTCACTGGCATCACAC